TTCATTATGACATGCACTGACCAACAGGGGGCAGATGCTCTGACCAGTAGGTTAGCTTGCTGCTGGGGTCTAGCCAATTGGGACTGAGTGAGATGGCTGGACATAACCTGGAAACCTCCCATGTTCCCTCCCCGGCTGGCCAACCTCCTGTGTCCCTCCCCAACTGTGCACTGGTGGGGTCCCTTGGCCTGGCCTATGCCCTCTCGCAATCCAGGACCTGTCAGGGGATGTCAGAGAGCCAGTTTTGGCCCAATCCCTCTCAATGTAGGAGCTACCTGTGGTGGTCAGTGCATTTCCATGGGGGAGCGCCACTCAGCCAGAAGCTGGGCTCATGGATGGTGAGTGCAGTGACGGTGGCACAAGCCTCAGCCACCTCCATGGCAGTGCTAAGAATGTCCTACTGAGCCACCAGTTGGACATCCCCAGAGGACTCCCAGAGTGCGAGAGGGCTCAGGCAGAGCTGAAGGACTGTCCCCTCTAAGTGCACGAATTTTGTGCACCAGGCCTCTAGTATATATATATATATAAGATATACCTGATTCTCTGATTCTTGGGAGAACTCAGACTAATACAACATTTTAAAGTAAAATTTTAAAAATCAAAGCAAATTCATTCCTAATCAATTTTTCTTTAAAAGTTAGGTGTGGTTTTATTTGTTTACTTTTTTTTATTATTTGCTTATTTAGATTTTGTTTTAAAGGCTTTTAATTGTGAAAGTATTCCATAATGCCCCAGTGTTACTATCAGCAATATTCATATATCTTTAAAAATATTTAAAGATATACCCTCATCCAGGGTGGCCAGGCACCCAAGCGGGACCCCCACCCTGATCTGGGACACCATTCAGGGCAAACCAGCCAGCCCCCACCCATGCACCAGGTCTCTATCCTATATAGTAAAAGGGTAATATGCAAATTGACCCTAACAGCAGAAAGACTGGGAATGATTGGTCACTATGATGTGCATGAACCAACAGGGGGTAGACACTCAATGCAGGAGCTGCCCCTAGTGGTCAGTGCACTCCCACAGCCAAACTTACACACAGTGTAGTACTCTATTCACACAGTGTAGTACTCTATTCAACAGGCAATGGAAAGACTTGGTATTAAAAATGGGTGACTAAAAGGCTCTATGGGTTGGCTTAATCATTTAAATGAACATGTTCTAAATTTGAAATTCAGAGGAGGAAAAGAGAGACATCACTGATTTGTTTTTAGAATGTAGAGCTAGGAATAGAGGAGTGGGGAATGCAATTATGAAACACCCCATTTTTCTATGTATGAAACATTTTCCCCATTATTCCTTATCCAGTAATGCCAGACCCATTAAAATTTTTTATATATGTAGTGAATGCCTAAGGCCTAATTTTGTTGTAATTAAATTTTCCAGCATATTATGTCTAAAGGTATTTTGAGTTGAGTCATAACATCAACCCTCATGGCCTACAACAGCTACCTAAAAATGCAATTCCATTACCAAGCAACAGGCTTGTCCTAGATCCTTTACCTGTCAAATTCCTAATCTGCCCAGAGATGGGGGTGGAGAATGGCTGAGAAGTGTGAGTAAGGCTTCTTTTATTACCATCTCTGTAGGTAGATAACATGTCTGCTAAGCTAATAGTCAACCTTGGGTGGAAAAACAAAAGTAATGAATAGAAATGAGAGATATAACAAGAGGAAAAGGTTAGCATACCAGGGAGGGAAGCAACTATTCAGTTTCCAAGTGAGTGACTTGGCAACAGAACTATACTCTTAGTTATCCTTTGAGATCTAATGATGACCAATGGCAAGTGGAGGGAGAAGCCTCAGGACTTGTTTCCCCCACAGAAGAAGCACTGAACTTCTGCTCATGTTACCATCGCAACAATGGATGTGCGGACTTGATAAACACTGGCCCCACTGTTTCAAATGTTCTGTGGGTATATTAAGAGCTCGGTGGGTTCTGAATAGGAGTAAAATAACATTCCTAGAATGTTGTTGGCATGATGAACAAGTCTTAATAATGTATATAGGGACATTAGAAAAAGCTGTTCTCTAATGCCTGGGCATTTATCTAGAGAGAAAACAAAGCCCTACTTAAATCAATTAAAATCAGTAAAAACTTTAACAGAGCTGTCAACCCTGGTAGAAAAGGGCTTATTCAGTATAAGGAAAGACTATCAGGCGTCATTATTTTCTGGTGGCTTCAAAGGCCGGTAACTGTGTCACTTAGTGAGCCAAACAAAGGCAATTTAATCGTATGAACACTATATTAAACTTAAGTAATAGTAGGACACCACAAAAAAGTGTGACTTTTATCATTGTTTTTAAAGTCCAGAATATTACAAAAACATTTTAAAAAGTCTTCACTATGGTTTCAATTTTGGGTTTGATTAGATAGAGATGTGAAATTTTATCATTATACCTGGAAGCCAGTGTCCTAAACCCTTCCCTATATTAACTGGGATATTATTATATCTACAAGCCAAATATAATCCAAAATTCACTGAATAGTGTTGTTTGGTCACCATCTCAGTCACTTAGAATGTATGGCACAACAGGAAATTACTACATTATTCTCTCTGACAAAGCTATAGGATGAACAAATGGTTTGCAAATTAATTTATAGAATTAAAACCAGACTTTTGTAAATAACTCTTCAGAGTGAGAAAATATGTTATGATTTAAATTGAAGTCACCACTTGATAAAAGACTTCTGAAAGCTGTACAGAAAAGGAAGTAAATTTGGCCTTATAAAAATTACACATTCAATAAATACTTATATTAATATATATAAAATGTTCAACTGACTAAACCCACTGGAGAAATAAGAATAATTGCACTGACAGAATATTAAAATAACTCTGTAGGCATATCATCATCTTAAAAAGCTTTGCAGAGAAAAATCCTATTAAAATGGTATGAGTCAAATCCAATTTATTGTCAGGGTGTTACTAAATTTAATCTTTATAAAAATATAACACAAACTATAAGACAAAATTGGAAATACATCTTAGAAGTATATAGTATAGAAATATTGACTGAGGACAGATGATTGACTAGGGAGTTCAGTAGTTCACATACAACATATTTCCTTCACATTACTAGAGAGAGGTTAAAATTGGGGGTGTGAACATGACCTATATTATAAGCATGCTGCAGAAAAACAAAAAAAAAACCCTATGACAAACTAATGTTATTTGACAGAAAGGTAGTA